AAACAGCTTTGGGCTCTCCGACTGAGCATTTTAACAACTTGATTGTGGCCACAACAGCCTGCAGCACAATGTGCCCAGCCACGGCAGATGAGGTTGAAAGGAAATCCACAGGTTTCTCCAGTTCTCTTTTTCAGCTATATTTGGAGATGTGGTCAAGCCCAGGCCACGCTGATCTGCAGAGCTATCTTCAGACAGCCTTTGGCTGCCCTGCCACATGAGAGCAGAGCTTGAGCCCAGGTTTTCAGTTCCAAGCAAGGTGGCCCTGATGGTGAGAAACAAAGCCCAGCCTGCTCAGCTTGCACTGAGGTTGTCCACGTATACTGGTTTTGTGGCACAGGATCAAAGGCAGCTGCCAACTCCTGTCACTCTGGCCACCAAAGAGCTATGGGCTGGTCATGGGTCTGAGCCACTCACACTGCAGGCAAGGCTGAAGGTGGACCTGAAGGTACATTTGCCTGAAGGTGGGAACAAGACAACCAGGCAGAGCAATGCCCCATTATCTCCAGACAAATGCAAGCAAAAATGTTAACCATCCCATAAGACAAGCCTTTTGTGATTGCCTCTCACTAGCCCTGGTGAGAGACACAGAGAGGGAGAAGGCTGCACATCACAGCCAGCAGGCAAAGAGTCCTTTACAGGGACGCCCCTGAACTATTATTACCATCACTCTTCTTCTCTACAAAGCCTTCAGATAGCTTTCCAAGATGGTATTTTTGTGACCAGACAAAGGTCAGAGTCCCTGCTATGATAAATCAGGCCTGATTCGGAGGCAGGTTCAGCTGACAGAGTCATCTGACCAAGCGCAGCTGTGCACAAACCCTGAACCAGTTCCCTTCTTATGTTTCTGTCAGGCTGGGCACGAAGCTCAGACATCTGCTAGTTCCTGAATTACAGCGTGCACGCAATAACGGACGTGCCCTGCTCGGGGAAGCTTGTGTTTATTATTTTCCAAGCTTTGCATCAACTACACACACAACCAGACCGCAGTGTCCGGTCACCAAATCTGCTGTGTGCAGCTGCTTTGGCTGCTAAAATGAATGGTGACTTCGTAAGCCTGTGGCTTCCCTAGCAAAAAAAAAAAAAAAAAAAAAAAAAAGGAAAAAATTTGCATTTCCCCTTTTCTGTGTTGCCAAATCCTTCCCTTTGAGAAACTACGCAAAGTGCTGCTTAAGTAGCCTTGCACCTGTAAGGGAGGCAGCAGGCACAGCCCATATCACCCACAGTCCACAGCTCTGCTAACATCCAGCAGAAATGCTTGGGGATGGTTCAAAGCCACCTGGTGAGGGCCAGTGCATGCAAGTGCTGCCTGGGTTTTGGGAGGATGGATGTAAACAGTAAGCCAGTGCAAGGACAGCTGGCCCTGCACCGCTTCCCACAGCACATCCTGGGCTTGTGCTGTTGTGCCAGCCTGGGCACTAGTGCGCCCCCAGCCCTGCTCCCACCCCTGTGCCTGCCTACTGAGGGGCATTTTGTGTTTCTTCCCTATCCTGCCCTGCTGAGCAGCTCTGAATCATCCCCTGCACCAGCAGGCAGGTAACTGTGGCTGCCAGGCCCCCAGCAAGCTGTGTGCAATGCCAGGGTGCCCCTCCAGACCCAAAAATGCCAACATTGGGCTGAGCAGCAGCTGGGGTCCCCCCACAGCCAATACCAGGGTCCAGGGTGAGCTCACAGCTCACAGCTGTTGTCCCACAAATGAAGCTGAAATCTCCTTCTGCCAGCACCACCGAGCTGCACCACTTTGACCTTTTCAGGGAAATCTGCCTGGACATTTTGGCTCTGCCCCCCTAGCAGTCACAGCAGAGGGAGAGCTGAGCTGGCCAGCTCGCAGGGTTGACCCCACTGTAAAGGTCAGAGAGGCACAGCCTGCCCCACCACTCAGGGGCTGCCAAGCCTGCCAACTCAGCTGTTGTCTTCCTGTGACTACAGCTGCCATCACTACTTGGAAAGGATACAAATGCGACCCTGGTATTACAGCAGTTTGGAGATCGTAAGGCCATGGTCTCGGATAGGCTCTCAGAAGCAGGCAGGGTGCTCTGTGCTGGCTCCTTCCCAGGGAAAACTGAGAAGGGTCTGCACAAGAAGCTGCTTTTAGGGCTGATCACTTCTCAGAGCTACCTACTCCCAACTCAAAGGGCCAGGCCTTGTGATCCACATAAGCCATTTGTGTCTGCTTGAAAGAAACAGTAAAAATCCCCAGAGACTCAGAAATTGTAAAGACACAGCAAAAAACCCAAAACTTCAAGCCTGTGAGCGTCTCTCCCAAGCATACACAAATTGCTTCCATATTTTACACGTTTTGAAGAGTGTGTGTATACGCTTTGTAAATCAGCAAGCCTGACCCTGAAGCCATCCAAAACTCATGATCAAAAACTTCTGAGTATTTGAGGTTCAGGTGACATCATTCTCCAAAGGGTTCCTTCATCTAAGTCAAAAAAAAGGTAGGAATTTTTGAAGCAGAGTAACAGAAGCCCTGAAAACATGTTTTCTGTGCTAGGAAACACAATGCATAATGAGGACACACAATCCCCTCAGTGTGAGAAGCAAAGCAGCTCCCATTTTCTGCGCATACAGGGCTAAAATGACGTGCAGACAAAAACCCCACCACCTGTGATGTTTGAGTGTTCGGAATCAAAATCTGTCCCATGACATCTCTGCCTTTTGTCTAGCCTCCTGCACCTCTGCATCCAGTTTTGGGGATCACAGGCATGGCACGGAGACATGGCTGAGGGGGTGCTGCCACCCAAGTGCTTCTGTAGTGCCCCTCACTGTAGTGCCCCTGGGTCCTTCAAGGACAACAAGATCCCTCTGACCTCCATCATACCCCAGTCAGGTACAGAAATGTAGTGACCCCCATTTGCAGCAGAGAACTGAAGACAAAGACCCCAAGGACTCGCTCTGGGGCAATTGTAGTGGTTCCTATCCCACCTATCTGCCTTGTCCAGGCACTGTGGATTTCTGTCAACACTGCTGAACTGCTGTGGTTGACACTTTGGTGTGTCAAAGTTGCCTGGTACCAATTTCAGTCTATAATGTCCCAAAAACGTTAGGCTGTGGCCACTACCAAGAGAGCTCAAGTTTGCTCCCTTACCTCAGCAGCAGTCCTAAGGGCTGAGGCTGTGAGAGCAAGTCATGCAGTCCAACAGAAGCAGATCTGTAGGGCAAAGCACTTGGGACTGAGGATATTACACCCATGTAGCACATATTTTAGGAGGGGTTGCATCAGACTAGCTGCAGTTTGGCTCAATGAACTGAGCTGGGAAGCAGATGGGGTGTTTCTGGGGAGCATTTTCCAGTTTAGTCTCCTCCACCAGAAACCCAGTCTATATACTGCGAGGTCACCCCACAAGGTGAACAGAAGTGGAGTGTGTGGGAGCAACCAGGACATTTGCTCAAAAGGGCATCCCCAGCCTGAACTGAGCCAGTAACGCAGGCACTTCCAGCTCATCCATCTGCCCTGGGCACAGAAGTGGAAGAGCCCCATTGCCACTCTTACCAAATGCTAAGGGATTTGTATGAGCAACTTAGGTGGACAAGGCATCCTGACACAAGGCACAAGCACAGAGGGTGCTGGCTGAGAAGAGGAAGGAGGGGAAATATGTTTAGAACAATGTGCTTACCAATGCTGCAGAGGAGGGTGGGCACAGTGACAGCCGCTCCCTGTGCACACTGGGATCCCAAGGGACAGGACAAAGTTTTCCCTGCCATCCCATGTCATCCCCATTTCCATTCCCAGCCCACACTGTGCTCCAACAGGCTGTGGTGTCAGAGGAGAGAGGTGCTCCTCAACCCACAGCTGAGGAAAGGCCTGCACATGGGAGTGGAGGTGGTGCAGCAGGGGCATCCAGCTCAGCCCCAGGCTCCTCCAGGAGAAGGCGTTTGGGCGGGCTGGCTGGCCTGCAGCCCAGGCAACTCCAGAAAGGATATGAAACCCCATCATTGTGAAAGCAGGAGGTGACAGTTCATGCTAAGGCAAGGGGCTCCAGAGTGATCTTACTGCCAGCATGAGATGCAGCATGCCGCTACTCTGCACCTCCTTAGAGCTCTCTCCCAGGCACAAGCAGCCACAGCCAGGCTCCAGGAGTGTTGTCCCTCTCCACTAGCTGGGGCAGCTGACAGCATGGCCAAGACCTTCAGGACTTGTCATATCTCTGTCTTTAGAGTGAAGAATAAAGAGAGGAAGATAAAGGCCAATATTTGTGGCAAAAAAAGGGGGTGTAAAATCCTGAAGGTGCCAGGTAGCACTAGTGTGGAATTCCATGAAAAAGCAGGGCCATCTCAAACAGCCAGATGCCTATGAAATGTTATTGCTGGATACCGCTTCAGAACTGACTTGGAGGGAAGTGTGACATTTACTGAGTCACCTCCACCACTTCCTGCAGCACCTGGAGCTTACTTCAAGGGCTCTCATTTAGATACTGAGAATTTGCTCACTGTTCAGGCTGAAAATAACACTGTTTACTTTCTTCTTTTTTTTTTTTTAAGAAGCTCTGCTGAAAGTATGATCTGTGATGCAACAGCCTCCAGTGCAGCCCAGTCCCCATGTGCAGTTCACACAGCACGATGAAAAAGCAATTTAAAAGTCGTCAGTCACCTGGTACTTCTCCCAGGAGGTAATCAGCAACATCTAGCTGCTTTGCCCTTGGATCCAGCAACAGGCAACAAAACTTTCTTTTTCCAAGCCACCCAAACCATGCTGCATCCTGAACACTGATGGAGGTTTTTGCCACTTCCTCTGACTACACCAGTAAGCTGTGGCCTTCTCAGCCTCCAGTATATGCTGCAGCAGCTGCACCTTGAATTGAAATAATTTTGAAGGACAGCTCTGAATCTCTGCCTTTATGAAGAGTCATTCAGGGCTCCTGTGTCCCTGCTTGTTCCTGCCAGAGCCCTCCAGGGCTCAGGATGCACAGCCTCAAAGTGCAAGCAACTTCAGAGAAGAGGAATTGAAAAGAAAAGCTAAACCTAATTTAAAAAAGAAACCAACCAAATACACAAATATTTCTTTAGTTTCATATCTAAATTATTTTTGCACATTTTGTCTGTATTTAAATACTCCCCTTACTGGGGATGTAAAACTCTGATGAATTCATTGTGTATAAAACCATTTAGGCTTTAAGCACTCTTGTTTTGATATACAGTTTGTTAATAAGGAAAGGACATATTTTCCCCCTTGGTATTACAGAATTTACACAACATTTCACATCCAATCCAAAAATATTTGTGGTGTTTCTTTCAAAAGTTGAAGCTGGATAAAGGATATTTTGTCCTTCCAAAGACAAAACCTTTCATTAAATGCCGTTACAATTGCAAAGGATCAGCCATCAAAACCCAAGTGTCTTTGTTGGCAGCGCATCCATTAAAACAACTCCTCGAACAGGATATGACATGTGAATGTTTAGTCTGTGGAAAAAAAAGAAAAAAGCAAAAAAAGCGTCAAATGTCAAAATGTAGAAATGTCAAAGGTGAAAGAGGAACTGGGTTGTTTGCTGTTAGAAATGCCTCCTCTTGCATCACTTGGCCTGTGAGAGCTATGCACACAGAAGGACCATGGAAGTTCTAGGAAAAGATGAAAAACCTTCCTTTCTTGTGAAATACACAGTTTTCTCAGGGACCATTCCAACTCAGAGTCAGACAGGAATAAAAGTGCAAAGCTGTCTGAGGAGAGCTGCAAAACCATGTTTTTCTGCCCATGCATTTTGATGGGAAGGCCCCTGGGACCCGCTGCACAGCGGCTCTGCAGCACAGCAGTGCGAGGGAGAACAGTGTTTGCCGAGCCAAGAGCAAACCCACCGGAGCAGACACTGTGTCGATGCTCTGCCTGCTCCAGGGCGTTGGGCAGACTCTAAATTTAAGGGGATAGTTCATTTGTTTCCACTCTCTCCTTTGTTTCTTTAGTCTGGGATACTGAGCAAAAGGCACAGAAAAACGTAATGTGGACAATAAACTGCCTATTTAAAAAAATTAATATTATGCCTCCAGGGCCTGGGAGGTTTCATACAGGTACACAACTGGACGTTCAGTTCTGAAAAATGAGACTGGACAGAGTAAAACAAAACTATCTTCTTTCCAGCTGGACATATTTTACAGCCTGTCTGTCTGCTACGTTAAATAGAAGACAGGAAAGACCAGTTGGGATGTGCACCCAAGATGAGATCTTCTGATCATCCTTTTTTTCCTCTTTCTACTCATAAACCTGGAGAATTTGTTCAGCCAGCCTTTGAAATCTCATTGCAGGCTGAGGCTGGTTATGAACCAAAACAAGGAGAGGGCTGTTGTGGACAACTGTGCTTGCTTTCTGTGGGATTTGTTGGAAGAAGAGGCATGCTGCATTTTTACTGGAAGGGATAATTAATCATCTAGGAGATGCAAACACAAGAGGAAAGAAATAGTATCTGTTGAGACACTTCCAGCTGCATGTCCATCCTGCCCCTTGACCAGCATCTGCCTGGCCTTGTGGGCAGGCTCAGCACCCAAAGGTCTCCAGGGCTCTAAAACACGCGAGGCTGCAGGGGAACAGCTGGGTGCCAGAGACAGGCACCTCCCGTGCCACCGCCAAGGCAGCAAGATCCTGCACACTGCCACATTCTTCATAAAATTACAAAAAATGTTAATTTATAGCAAATCCTACCCAATTAAAGACAATAAAGCTCTGCAGTTAATCAAGCTGATTAAATGAATTAAACTTGTTAAGAACAGTTTTATCAAAACATTTACATTTCTGCTGAGCAGAGATTCATGTGACTTTGAGCTGCAAAGTACACAGTTGCCATGAGAGGACTAAAAAGAGGATTGGGAACATTAACCATGTGAAAAATCAAGTCTACTTCTGCATCTCCCAGCATTCATTTAAACAAAAGAGTTCCTTGGCCCATTAATTTCATCACTGTGTCAGGTATCTTCTACTTCCTGGAAAGAGAGGCATTGCTTACTCACTGAGGGAGGCGACACGTGTCCAAAGGGGGGGAATTCATCCCTGCCTTATGAAACATCTCCAAGACGATGTGTTGCAAGAGGTCCTGGGAGAGCAGCATCCCTCACCCAACCCATTGTGTGCCCCCATGGCATGTGTTCAGGTAAAACAGTGGCCTCATCTCCTGGGTCTGAGAGCACCTATAGAAGAAACCCATATGTAAGAGTACACAACACAAACATTTCCATAGCTGTCTGAAAGATTAAAGTAAAACAGCAGATTTTTTCCTTACATATAAGTCTGCTCAGCTTCAGTCCCCACAGAGATGGGTTCAATAAAGGCTTTAGATGCTTAACTTCTTAATTTAGACACTCGTTTTTAGCTGTTACCCAACCATGGAGAAGTGTACTGCTGACAGCTACTTGAAGTTCCTCCAGTATCCTACATACTTCAGAAGAGAGCAGAGCAGGTGGGTGGTGACATTCCATTTACCTGTGCCACATCAGGACCCATCAGCAACCTGTCCTCCCAGAGCCTCAGTTGATGGGGCTAAGCTGGGAGTAGACAGACCTGTAATGGCTGGACACAGGCTTAGCTGACGTTGAAGGTTTTCTCTGAGCTTATGGAAAGAGAGAGGCACCCTTTCACAACACTCCACACCTATTTTAGGATAAAAAACCTGGGGGGGGGGAGGGATGACTATCTCTCTGCTCACTGGAGAACAACTCATGATGAGGGGACTTAGACTGAATGCTTCACTTCTGGACAGCTCGAATAAAATCATGTCCTTAAATATTCCCAGCAACATAAACACCAGCTGGATAACAAACCATGGCCAGGAACAGGGTGTCTAACCACACAGCAGCAAGTATGCCTGCTTGCCAAAAGGGCAGTCGTCACATGCACACAGAAGGCAGGTTAGTGTGGGCTTCAGATCCTTCTCAAATATTTAGCCCACCTCATTGATGGGTTTTCTTTGCTGCTGCAACGTGCGCTGCTCTCCATGGCAGGTAGTTTGAACATTGTAGGTAGCGCTGCACCCACAATAATTTCCTACCAAATGAGGATTTAAACAGTGAGAGTGCATAATCCCAACTAAAAAGGCATTAGGAATAGGCCTTCCCCTTTCTCTCAATGACCACGTTTAGAAGATCTGCAACTTCAGCATTTTGCAGAGAGTTCTGCTAAGGCAAAGACAAACTTGGCATTGGCGCTCCATCTTCTGTGCCATATGCTTCATTCATCTGAGAGTTGTTTTTCCTGCAGGGGAGGGTGGATTGGCACGTATGGAAATTCATTACAATTATTTTGTTTGGTTCTTTGTGCTGGCCACCATCTCCATTTTAATTTTTATTTCTCATGCCCAGAACAATCTCAAAACAAAGACAACTTCTCCTGAAGCACAATAAATATTCTCAAAAGGAGTGTCTGAAAGGCCGTGCTCCTTGGATGAGCCTGTAAACGTTACAAGTTGTGGCTGGAGTATTTCTAAAGAAGGTGATAGAAACCAAGAGACTGAAAATAAAAGTAACACATGTTAAGAAGCCAAATATACTGACATGCCATGTAACTACCTGGGTATTGGCAAAGATACCATGTGCTTATGTGCAATCCACTTCCCTGGTTTTGCAACAACAAGTTTCTCAAATGATGCTTATACTGAGTTACCTATTCCATTTTTCACTGCTTGTCAGATAAATGGCAGCTTTTTTAATAGGAAGACAGACGTTTGATTATTTTAGGTTCAGAGATTCTGGCCAATTCCTTCCCAAAAGTGGTTGGGGTGAATAGCCAAAGAAAATTTATGCATTTAAACTTAATGATGCTTAAACACTGCAAGTAACAACACAGAAATGGACAGAAGCCTGAGGGGTAGCAGGAATCTCCAAGAAAAGGACTTTTCTGTTCAGACAAACTGCCAGCAGCTCCTGATAGCGGCCATTATGATTGTATTTCCATGTTCTGCCCTTCAAAAGTATATATTATTTTCAGTTAAAAAGAAGTCTGAATTCATTTTTGGAGTTCCATGATGTTTCTGCACCTAATGGTTTCCAGGTCTCTCCATAGGCTGTAGCTAGCTTTTGTTTATCCATATAAAGTTTTGAAGAGTTCAGATCTCAAAAGCAGAAAAAATAACTCATGACCCACAGGCAGAGTAGGACATTTTGCTCCACAGCTTTGGAGAAGCTTCCAGCTCACTGCTGGTTTAACGCAATGTACTGGGGAGCTACACTGACAAAGACCTTTTGTTCCTTCCTTTCCCTGTTTATGAGGTTAGGTACAAACCCCATTCTATTTCCACTTCTAATGCCTGCAAGGAAGAAATAGTCAATAAGGTTTCATAAGAAAGATGAAATCTGCATAGACATCCTAGTAAATGCTCTTCAGGTAGTGCATGTTTCACACAGGTTGGTGTTAGGTGTCATTTGTAGATTAGGTTGAAATTGGGTCTTTTCACATCCTAATGTACATTGAATATAAAAATGAAATGTCACCTGCACGCGCAAAGTGCATACACCATTCCAAAGCATATATACCTGTCCAAACAATTAGCTCTTAAAACCTCTGCATGAGTTTCAGCAGAATACATTAGTGTTGAGAATAACGAAGGGCTGAACTTCTCCAGAGGAGCCTTGCTCACCATTTTAATGCCACTCTCTTTCCATATAACCAAACTGTCAGCCTGCTCAGACCCCAGGGAGTGTCCAGTGCGGCTGTGAATGGAAAAAAATCATTTCTCAAGCTGAAGAATTATGAAAACGTAAAACATTTTGGATGCAGCAATGAGGAAGAGTGTATGAGCTTCAGTTTCTAGTTATGATTTCAAACTCACAAAAAAATTTGTGAAATGGGGGATTGGAAAGGAAAACAGCAATTAACAGCTCCTGACTAGGACATGAGCAATGCCAGGAAACATTCAGAAAAATAACCCATGGCAGTTGCTGAAAGGGGCCTAGCAAATGGATAAGAGGGAGTAGCAAACTAGATGCTGGTTTATAAAATGAGAGGGTCTGATTTTGACCTGCAGAGAGGTGAAGAACATTGTATCACAGAGCAGAAGGGAGATGGCTGCTGTCTGCAGGGTGCTGCTGAGTCTGAGCCATCCTCTGAACAGGGAAAGCAACTGCAGGCACTCGTGTGTTAAGGAGACATCATATTGGAAAGAATTCAACAGTGAACAACAATCAAATAACTAAAGGGAAGATTAAATAACTAAATAGTACAGTTTGGATAAGTAAATCCCTAAGAAGAAGATAAAATCATTTGAAGGTGTCAACATCAAGGAGAGAGCGCTGTTTACACAACTCTAGATAAAGCGTAACAAGAAAGGAAAATACCTCTTCCTGCAGAAAGGGAAAATGCAGACTGGCAGTACGAACTGCTAACCCGCTGCTGCTGACCTTCACAGCCCTTTCAACCCCCTACCAAAACCTCTGTTGGTGTAGAGGTTGTCAGGTGAGCACCTAGGACTGCTCAGAGCCACTACGGCAACATCTTTCTGCAAAGCAACCTATCACACGTGTCATGTGTGCTGCACACCAGCAGGTGAGGGCCAGCATTACCATCCCTCTGCACCTCCACCTCCTGCAGGGAAAGAGAAATCCAAAGTGTTTCTCTCATGCTTCACCATCACTCTAATACATTTGATTCAACAGCAAAACACAAAGTGTCCAGTAAGTCTGTAAAACAGCCAGTCCACACCTGGAGCCTGCAAATGCTTCATTACAAGCTCAGGTATTTGCCTGTAGCAATCAGCTAACCGGATGCCTAGCAGCAAGATTTCATGTGCTCATGTACGTGTTTTCTGGTGTGGCCATCCACAGAGGCAAACTTTGTCATTTCCCCCTGTGAGCGCTGTCTGTATTTGTTTAACTCTTCCCATTAATGATGGCTCGCTCAAGCTCAAATACACCATGCTGGATGTCTGCCTCAGGCAGCCTCTTTTGGTAATTTTTAGCTAAAATAATTCAACTGCCTCCTAGAATAAGATTAGGAAGATATATGTTAGCTTGCTCTGTTCAAATCAAGAGATTAAACATGTCGGTCTTCAGAGGCTGATACTGATAGACGGAGCCAGGTAAAGGGGATGTGCCTTTGCAAGGGTCCTAGGTTTTCTCATCTGTGGTCAAGTTACAAGTTATACAAAGCTTCACTCTGCACCTGCCTCATGGGCGTTTGTTTGAATTTGGTTGATAATTTAACTGAGGACTCCATCTGTTTTGGCCTTGCTGCAGGCCAGGGACACAGGTGCTGCCTACCATCCACAATGCTGACGGCTGGAGTCTGCTGTGGCCTGAAGGTGAAGCAGGGATCCTCTCGTCCTGCACAGCTGCAATTAGGCAGGACAAGGACCTTTCCCCATACAGCCTCCACTCCCCTGCCGAGAACCGTCTGCCCTGGGTATTAAAAGAGGTAGAGCTGTTGTGGGGAAAAACAAATATTTACATATGCATTTGATCCTGTAGCTAAAAGCAGCCCTATCATGATGCCTGTGCAGACGGGACTCAGGTGGCAAGGGCAGTGTTAAATCAAGCATTTCTAACTGCCCGGTGCTTGACCCTACAAGCTTCCCATACTTTCAATCTACGTCAAGTTTGTGTCATTTCCTTGATTTGCAGATGGCAAACTGAAATAAAAATGCAGAAATCCCATCATGTGGCATCATATTGTCTACTACACGACTCATTGGCAGAACTGGCTCTTATTCTCAGCTGTTAATTCCATCATGCTTGAAAAGCAGAATAGCTGGGAATACTGATAGCCCAACAACCTCTGCTGAGGGAGCAGGCAGAACTCATCCACAGCCTGCGCCAATACCTTCCCCAAATATTTCCTGACAACAGACACCTACTGTGCTACAGAAATCCCTGGGTTGGCCGTGTCCCAAGTTCTGCAGGAGGTATGATCTGGTGAGGAGATATATTCCCAAATCTGACTCCTCCTGCCCCTCCTGGTCCTTTCAGCCTGTCTTCTGCTTTGGTCCTGCTCCCACATCTACTTCAACACCTGTCATTAGTTCCCCTCTCCAGGCAGGGGGTCCTCAGCCCTTGTGCTGCAGTAGGGCTCCCTCTCTCCTTCCCTTCCTCCCTTGGCCAGGTCCAGCCCTAGTCAACATCAGCCTTCCTGCGTGTTCGTTTAAGTATCAGCAAAGGAGCACATCCAAGAGTATCCACATCCACAGCGCTACAGTGACCCTGCCAGCACAGAAAAACAAGGTCAAAGAGCTGCTGCTCTGCACCTGCAGCAGGAGGCTGCTCTGTGCTGGCCACACCATAATCTGTGATTTAGCCACTGGACTTGAACGAGTTTCCACTGAGCAAGTGTCTTCAGAGAATTCAGATTCTAACTCTTAAGAAGTTTCTGTTGAGTGGCTGAGGCTTCTTTTATTTCCTAAGGTTTCTCAGTTCAACTTATTTTTTTTCCCCGTGTAAAACAACCAAAGGTGCATTCCTGATATCTGCCAAATTTCAAGCCTCTTCTTCAGAGGCAGAAAGTGCTAGAGTTTCTCAACAGATCACTTTAGGAACATGTTTGAATATGAAGAAAAAAAATTGTTTCTCTCATCTCTTTATTGTAAGCAAGTAAAAACATTTTTTGCTGAAGCTTCCCAGATGCATTCAGCCTGAGACAGATACTCAGAACAGAAAAAAACAGCTAAGCAGTAGACAGATAACGTTTTCAGGGGTTTACAAGCAACTAAATATTTGGTCTTATAAGAAATGTTGGATAGCCTTAAAAACAGACAGAGGCATCAATGTCATAAAGTACATGTAATTTAAACTGAGCTTCTGCTGAGTCAGGAGGGGAGAAACAGAAAATGCATGAATTCTATGGTAATTTCTCCAAATTTGTGACTGCTTTTGTACTTTCTAAGAAGACGTGGTGAAGAGATTTGCTTCCTGTGGAGGTGCCTGTGCTCTGCCACAAGCTGCCTGGGCAGAGGCTAAATGAGCTTGGCAGGTGACTCTCCCCTAGGATCTCCACTGGCTCTCCATGAGCCCACTCTGGGATCTGGAGCTGTATCTCCCCATTTTCCCAGCACTCACAGACCTCTGGGGAAGGCTACTTGTTCTACAGGGGCACCATGGGGATGCAGGTGCCAAGTATACCTGTTGCATTGCTCAGGGCTCAGTTGGGAGCCAGGCACAGAGTGCTGCTGAGCTGGGTAGGGGAGCAAGGGCCCCAGCTTTTCGGGTTTATTGTGCATCTGTGGATTATTTAGAGCCTGGAGTAATGGGCACCCTCAGTGAAGGGTGCTATCAAAAAAAGGGAAAGCTGTGAGTTGTTGTTATTTCAGAGCAGGTCAGGAAGGTCTCATCACTTCACAATGACACTACGGCATGAACTAACCGAGCCGAGCCTCACCCCCTCTCCCAGTCTGTCACTCTGCTGAGCATTTCCACCTCTACATCACACACACACAGAGGCTCTCCCTGCACAGGGCCATCTCACCAGTACGCACCATGGCACCATACCCCTATCAGGCCACTCTTGCTCAGGAAGCATCTGTGCAGTATGTGTGATCCTCTGCCACTCCATTTTCAAAGCACAGGCACAACCTATTCCCCATTTGTTTATGCAGACATGAGTAGGTAGCAGGGAACAGGTCTGCAGGCAGATAGGTCCCTTCCTTTCCCTTCCCGCCTCCCACTCTTTCCCAAGAATGCCCTCAGCATGCTTGCATCTGCAGCAGAGTCACAGCAACTGACAAAACACCTGTCTCCCTGTTCCAGGGATGATTTTGCCTGTGACTGACAAGCAGGCACTGGTGTTTCACAGTGCTGCTCTTCAAACCACTCTTTCATAGACACACCATGATTCCTGGTTCTTGTGAATGGGAACCCACTTATTAATTTTTGCTGACAGCAACAGAAAGGAGTACAGGGGGTGTGCAGGGGGGAAGAGAGAAGTATGCTTTAATTTCTCTGCTTTTGACTTTGTCTGAGAAATACAGAAAAGCTGCCCCTACCCAAAGAAGATGGTGTGGCCACTGTCGTTGCAGCAAGGGAGGGAACAAGAGGGCCTGTGAGCCCAGTAGTGCAGTGGCATCTCTACGTGCAGGGAACCCATGCACAAGTTTTCATGTGAATAATTAAAACCCAAGCCTCCTCACTCTTCTCCATTTTCCAATCCCTCCTCCTGTTTTCTCTATAATTCCATTTTCCTCTCTCGCTTCTTTCCACTCCCATTTTACAGATATTATTGTTCCTTTGGCGAAGAGCATCCCTATGCTGAGTTTATAAGGCAGAGGGCTGCAGCAAACACCTCATGAAGCCCAGCCAGCAGCCCCCAGCCCCCTTCCTCCCCTCCTCAAAGTTCACACGGTTTAGTATGCAAGCTTCCTGCTGCCTGCCCAGCCAGCTCACTATTCACAGGCAAACTGTGCTCCTCTGCTTGGCTCCCGAAGAAGAATAAGTATAAAAAGCCCTGAAAGTCTTGCTGCTGAGCCAGCAGGAAACTCAAACTGCTCTGAGCATGGGAACCAAGAGAACCGCTGTGGCCAGCACAACAGGTATTGTTTGGGAGGAAATCCCGGCAGCAGACATGACTGCCTACACACACACACACATATATATGTATATGCTTAGTGAGGGTTTGGCAAAAGGGAAGGTTGGGGAAGTGTACAAGGAGAGAAGAATAGATTAGCAGCTATATCCAAAAAAGAGTAAGAGAGCTGCTCAGCCAAGAAAAACAGCTATTTCACTAGCCAATGAACTGACCCATTTGCCACACATACAAACCATGTAGGACCTCAAGTGATGTCTCTGGCCATGGTCTCTTGACAGGTTTTTCTATGTCCTTGTTTAAGTTTGCATCAGGAGTGAGTTCGTGAGGCACATGCCCTGTTTGTCCCACTTGCCACATTTTGCTTTATGTCAGGGAGCAGTGTTTTAACTGAATTCCCTTTGAGTGAAAGGAAACCAGGAGATGGACCCCAGGAGCATAACTCCTGCACTCCAACCTCTAGTGAGCATCTGGTCCCTGGGAATCAGAACTGAGGCAGTCTGGTGTAAATCCCCTGACATACCAAGTCCGTGGCACAAAGCAGCCACCTCTGTGGATCTGCTTCCTGCTGCACCACACCAGCTGCTGACATAGGCACAGTTTATCTGCAAATATGGTAAATTTGAGTGAAAAAAAGAGAAGGAAGAAAGAAAAGCTTAAATTATGTAACTTCTTTTCTCACCAAAAAGCGATTAAAAGCTGTGGTAAAACAGCTCACAAATGTCACATTCACAAGGAGTCATAACAAGAAGTTTGACAAGACAAGACTTGATAATCTAGAAGTATTTTAATTATATATCTTACAGTCTTTCTTGTTAGAGATGCTCTAAAGAAATAAACTTGAGAGCAACAGGTCATCCCACCCAACTCAGCATCTCTTGCAACCATTCTGAAGAGCAGCAGCTGTGAAAATCCCAGATAAGAGAATGTGTGACCCCAAGTCTCATAACCATAAGGAGATGGCTAGAAGAGCAACACATAGGCCTTGGAAAGCAAGAAAGCATGCAAAACAAAAGGGCCAAACTTTAAGTCAACATGAAGACATGCAAGTGACAGACCATCCTTATGGGATGGATTTTTGTAACCCAAATACTCCAAACTGAACAGCATTATGAACCCTACTGGTCAAATGCCCGACAGCTACACATAGCCACGTTTCTGAACTGCTTTAAAGCTTTCTGCATTGGGATTTTACTCACTACACAGAAAGGGGTTGGCTGTGAAAGTTAGATCTGGACTGAGCTTCAGTGTCCTCAAATGGCTCTTTTTGGGGGAGAAGAGGGAAGTCGAGCTGGAGTTGTGTTCTGGCCCCACTCCAGTTGTAGAAGCATAATGGAGCAGCACCTGTGCAACTGGGTTCATTCCTTTAATTTGGTGAGACAATTTTGGGATAGGAAATGTCAATGCACAGGCTTGTTTTGGATAAACACCAAAAAGCAGTTTGGGAACCTGGCTGAAACAAGCTGATTCTCCAGAGTCTGTAACACCAGTGGAAAATGTGGATAAGAGCTTACCTCTGCTATTAGCAGCTTTCCCATAATAGGTTTTTCCTGTTCTATATGGGAGCTCCAGGATACTCAGGACTTCTGCAGTGCTCCTACCTCTGAAGATCCACTGCGGAGTCAGGAACCTCCTGAGAGAGGGAGAATCCGAACTCTTACCTACTGGGTTCCCAAAAGAAAAAATAAATGTATCTTAACACTGTGCTAACTGCCTTAGTGACCCTGGCATGGGTGCTGAGCAGTGATGAAGGCCTGGTCAGCTACCAAGAGCCAAGCAGTAGGAAAGGCAGCTGGTTTGAGCACAGATAACCTGGGATGTTCAGAGCAGCCACATAGAGTCAAGAATGGAAAACGTGAACAGTCCCTTGTGGCAGATGGGACAGAGTCACATGCAGGAGATTTTAGTCAGCACTGCAAAGCTCAGAGCTTTCCACCAGCATTTCCCCCTGCTACGGCCTCCTGGAAGAAAACAAAGCAGAGCCCCAGGGATCAGCAGCCCCTTGGCCCCCAGGAGCTGCCTGGTTTCCAGCCTGTAGGGTGGTGACATGAAGCAGAGGCACTCACTCCTCTCCTCATCTGTCCCCACTCAAAGGGCACTTCGAGGAAAGGGAATTAGACTCTAGCACAGCACTCCTGCACAGCAGATGGGCTGCATTGTGGAACACTTCTGCCCCAGGTAGCGTTGCATGCACGCTGCACCCACAGGCACAGCTGTGTGGCTTCCCCTTACCTTTGAACATGTGTAAGTGCAGTGCTGGTCACAGGGAGCAAATGAGTAGCCCAGAGCATCCCAGGTCTCTGCAGGATGAGCAGAGAACAGTCCATGCCACCGCAAGAGCAATGGTCATTGTGTCATCCATGTCCTCCCACACGAAGCATAGGAACTGAGGGAGCAGGACCTGTGACGGGTCTGAAAAGATAACTCACCTCCCCAGGGCTCAGGAACAGAGGAAAAGGGGTAAACCCTCCCAGCAGCAGGCTCTCACACACAGCCTTGGCACCGTGCCTCCCTGTTGACCAGGAAAATTGGCTGCCGTTACGTAGAGCCCCATTCAGTCTCACAGGCCCATTCAGTGCATTGCCTGGTGGGTGGACTGCCAGGGAGCAGGACACCCATTAACAGACTCCGTAAGCACTGCACACATGGTCCCTTGCATTCACTACCCAGGGTGGGACATCCGTCAGCGGCTTCAGGGAGAAAGGACCTGCGTGTTCACTGGTGTTTGTTATGGGAGTCCAAAGAGAACAAAACTGTAAAGCAAGACAATACTTCTAAGTTGAGGGGGAACATTTCTTCCTCTATTAATTATTTCCCATGCTATTCCTGGCAATGACCTTCACCGGGAAGGAAAAAAAAACAGATTTGTTTTTATATCTTTTATTTGACTTCCTATACTAAAGCTCCTGGCTAGAATGACTCACACTTATATCAGCCATCACATTACGCTATAAGAGTGCTACTACCTGTCTTGTCTTCCTCACCATTAAGGTTTTGTTAGCATTAAACCAGGCAATTTGCAGCTCTATTTAAAGATATCTGCCTCAGTGGCAAGTGTCCATAATACCCTTGTTTCATCTTTGGAAGTAATACCGTGAAGATTGCATTTGAGACTGCTGGCACCCCAGATTGAAGGGAAATTTTTCTGGTTCTGTGCAGAGAAGTGTTTGCCTGTTGCAGACCAGGCATCTCTTTTCCAACCATTTACAATGAAATTGCTTATGTGCATCACTGTCCTGTTGCATACCCACTCGCCCCTTTAGAGATTCCTGGTCTTATTTCTGTTCCCTGCATGCAACAGAGCTGCACGGTGACACTACAGCCCCAGGGAGGCAGTGAATGTTATCTCTCTGTGTGCAGGGATTACCCTCATGGTTCCTCATCTGTCATTGGCCCAGCTTCCTCTGCCTGACAATTTAAAGGGTTGAGAAGAAACTCTGCCAGGAGTCTCATGCCCCTCCCACAGGACTTCCCATGGAAGGCAGCGGGTTGGTCCTTGGTGTCTCATTTCATTCACACTTGCTTTCTTCCTCTGCTTTACAAACACAGTGCTCACTAATCAGCACTTTTTACATGAAAGGGGCACTTGCAAGCAGATTACCTTCCAGACTTCATTTTTTTAAAAAATGGGCATTCAGATTGCAGCAATGGCCTGTCTCCTGCCAGAACTGACACCATACTGTGCCAGGAGCTGTGTGAGTGTCCAGGAACAGTCCTAGTAGCCCTCAGCTGCTTCCAGCTGAGAAGTGAAGCAGTCTAAAAGTTAAAAGAAAAATGTCATATTAGATGTTTTAACATAGTGACATACCTGAAAAAGAGTTTGATCTTCATCCTGCAGAATCCCAAGGAATCCTAGTCAAAGTGTAGCCATCCCGCAGAGACATCCCACATTTTTGTCTCCCTCACAAATGCTGTTGTTATGTGTCCACCACTGCTTAGAGACCCTGACCTGCAGTATGAGGACGGAACAAACGCTGGCTGCTGTCCATTCAGGGACCCTTTTCCATCTCTGAGCCGTGGCTCACGGCATGCCAGCTGGGCCAGTGCGGAATGTACCAATCTCTTTTTTAAACAAAACAGCACCATGAACCTTGGTGTGAAATCAGCTAATTTAAGGCAAATTGCAATAAGTGTGACAAACAGCAGGAGGTAAGGAAAACTTAAGGGTACTTCCTAAAAGTGTGTTTATTTCACTGACATCCCCAGAAGAGGTCATAGTTTGGGATAGGCAGAATGTTTTACTAAGCTGTTCTTTCTAGTGCAGGCCGACTTGATTTTACATGACACGAGATCTAACCACTGGGCTTGAGGTTGTATCACAGGATTTTAGTTTAAAAAAAAAAGGCCCAAGAGAGACACTCTAAATATATATATTCGGGTCCACAAACAAACAAACATGACACATGAAAATAGGTAAGATTTTTCTTTAATTTTACTGATGATTTGCAGAAATAGGCATGGAATATTTTCAGTGGCTGAAAAGTCTCATCCTGAAATAATAGGCATGCATTAACATCCATTGCAAAACCATCTTTTCATGTTGGTAAGCTTTGTTGATAGAGGAGAGGAAGCACACAGGCTCTCCCAGGCAAGCTCTTATTCACAGGTACAAATCTCTCTTCAGTGATGAATGAATCCTTTCAGAAATGCTAATATCAGGATTTACACAAGGTGGCCAATGTAAACTGTAACTGCTGGTTCATGATTCTTTTTGGATCCTTTGCCAACTTACAAATCTTCAGAGTTAGTGTTGAAACAGGCAGCATTTTGTTGGAAAAGAGCAAAAATGCATTTCTGCACCAAACTACTGATGGGAATAGATGACACAACAACCTCAAGAAAGGGCTTCCTTGTGAACCCAACCAGTGTGAGAGAGGAGGAGAGACAGTAAGAAGATGGGGATTTTGATGCTTGGATCATATCTCACTTCTTGCATTCCCCCAGGAGATTTAGTACTACTTCTGAAGGCAGCAGCCAAAAGTATGCTTTGATATATCTTTCATCTAAAGTTATCTATATTGATAGACTGTGTTTGTGCGGTTGAAGCACTGAACCAGAGATAGGACTTTTGTTCCCACTTCTACCACAGAGTCTTGGTATGTCCTCAGAAAAGCAATGAGAGTTTGTGTGTCTGACCCGGGCCTCTCTCAGCCAAGCAGAGAAGAGACCACTTTCCCACACGGCAGCATGGAAAAAAGCTCTGTACATCATGAGATGGACAGGTCCCATCATCCTGAGTCCTCCTGAAAGCAATGAAAACAAATTGACACTGGTCAGATTCAGGCTGCCCTAAAATTAATCATATGATTCATTAGGAAACAAATTCTTCAGTTCAGAAATTACCAGTAACTATCTTTTCTTCTGGATTATTGCTCCCACAGATGAGCCAAATAAAGGACCATTTCAAAGGTCACAATTCATTTCAGTGCAAAGCAACTGGCTTTGCTTTGATTGCAGGGGAATGTGACTTAAATTAGGCCAGCTGACTTTGTCCTGAAGAGGGCTACAGCTTCTCACATGATCTATAGCATAGCCCAGCTGTGGCTGTTGACCTCTCTGGCTAAAGCCACAAGACATTCAACTCTGCCATAGGACACTTGCCCCAATAAAGAGAAAATAGACTGGATGGAAATGGAGTTGTCAGAAGAAACTGTTGAGAACAGCAATACGATTCCAGAAAAAAAGCACTTCCTCAGATCATAGAGGATGATCATCTCTCATACTTGCACTCTTCTTCCCCAGGTAACTGAGCACTGCTGGATTAAGCTCAGGAGATGGGGGGATGGAGGAGCAAGAAGCAAACTTTTTTCATAAGGGAACATGTACAGTAAATAACAGCTGCAAAGGCTCTCTCGTGTATTGAAGACATAATTCAGTGTTTTCCTTCCCAAAATAAGGATTTAATGGGAAGCAAGTTTCACCCTTTCTAAAGGAGTACTCTACAATAAGCTTGTTAAGTTTGGAAAGTACTTTGGGAGCCCTTGGGATGAAAGGCACTCTAGGAATGAAAGCTGATATTTATGATTATTGCTTGAAAGGAACAGAGAGGAACAGTAATGTAAAATATGAATGGCTGCTGGTGCTAAAAAACGTATCATTGACTTGGTGCCAAAGAAGATAGTCCTAGCTCTCAAACCTGGATGACAAGGATTTAGGAGATACAAGAAGTGGAAGAGACTCGTGCAAATAACAGCAAAAGCCAATTTGATTCCAGGGCAAATAGGTGTCTTGTGGGTTTTTCTTTTCTTCCTCCTAAATTGCAGACCATATAATCTGATCTCTCCCATCCCAGCTCTGCCAGCCAAAAAAGATGCCTATTAACCACAATAAGTACTGCTGGTTTGTACTTCTCTTGAAGGAGGAACCTACAGATCCCTTAGGACATGAGGCAAGGAGAATACCCTTTGTAAGTGGTCATATGTTATGGATTGGCCTAAGTAGATTCATATCTTATCTCACTCAAAGGATTAAGAGCAGAACCACTTCAGGCTAATGTAAATTAAACTTCTCTATTTTAGAAAGCTATAAGAGAAGAAAATCAGGCTAACATGTTCTGCTTCTGCAAACATCTAGCTGCATGCTCTCTGCTTGCATAAATGTCTTTTATTGATTTTACACTGGGCATCTGGTCCTCTAATGTGACACTGTACAGCTCCTAGGGAGGATGTTTCTCTATCTGGACCTGGTATTGAGACACCTTTACCTTAGTCTCCCACTCTTCCACTTTTCTCTGAGAAGCTCTAAAAGAAAAATCCTTTGAGAGAAAGAATTCTGCTTCTTCACTTCTTCAAAAACAAGCTTGAAAGTGACTCTAGTGCATAAGAAACCTTCACTGCAAAAACCCACAGGATCTTGAGAAGTGATTTTTTTTTCATATAGCAGAGAATAACACAGCATGCACCAGAGGCTGAATGTTAATATCATACACATTTAAATGAGATATAAGGTACAATTATTTTTTTAACGAGCTACTGCAGTGAATTAACAAGAAAGGCTATGTTCTCTAATTCACAGGCTCCAAATGAAGATGGGATACCTTTCACAGGCATGCTTCAAGCAGATGTGGGTTAGTGGGCTAGAAGAACTTGAATGGCTCTAGGGATAGAGATTTTGCCAATGAACACCCCACCCAGGCTAGCAGCCTTCTGTGTCACTTGGGCAAGCCTTGCAACCTCTCTGCAGGCCAGTCTCCCACATTTCCAGTGTGGCTAAACCCCACAGCAGCCAGGAGAGTGCTGTGTCTGTGCTCTTTGGGTAGCTGAAAGCCAAGCAGAGCCCTGGCCTCGCCTCTGACTCTGGAGAAGTACCATTTCACCAAATCCACACTAACAGGACTGCTAATGGCCCTTCACTTCGGCACTGGCACATTGTTAAGAGAAAGAAGGTCCCCTGGCAGCTTGTGCTGCCAGGGCTGTGGTGTGGAGCATGCTTCTGCAAGATCCTCTCCATCAGCACTGCCTCTTAGTCCTGGCACAGTCTAATGCTGATGGATCTGTATTAGAAATAACAGAAAGTCCTCGGCCTTTTTTTTATCCCTTTCTTTCTTTTTTCCTTCCCTTCAGCTATTTAGGCCAACTCTGGCTAATCACACTCTCTAACTTATACTCAGTCACTGCCATGGCAACCATTTCAACATGCAATTCATAGACTACCTCTGAGATGCACAGCCCTTTTCAGAAACACATAGACCTTGATGCTTCAGGAGAGGCATTAAGGGAGGAGAACTATCATCTGCTGCGCTGACACATTTTTC